CTCGGGCGCCATAGACCTCCATTATTTGAATGACAGCAAGAAGCCTCCCAGATCTCCAGATGCATTTGAAATATCAAAAAAGTACTCCAGAGTGTTGTTCAGCATGGGGGTGAGTAGAAAATGAAGGCTAATCATGTTTTTTGGTGTACTATTCCTTTAAGTTGGACATTACTGTTCCTACTAATATATAACATTAGCTGCCATTATTGAATCCTGGACTTGATCTTTAATAAAAATAATTGGTTCAAAGAACAGAAAGCTGCAGGTTGCTATGGAGTTTATGCTGTTAATAGTTGTGGTTCTAATGGTTCTGTATCGCCTACTGGAGGTCTATGAAGTCTTAAGTTGGGACACTAACTTGAAACAGTATTTCAGATTCAAATGTTGGAACTTGTTCGGATGAGCAAACAAACACTGTTTTTATATCAAAGGATCTACTGTGTTTTCACAGCTGTTTTAGATAGAATGGAAAACACCACAACATGTTTTCTTTTTCCCCTGCAATACTCAACTGTTCCCTCTCGTCGGATTTGTGCTGCCAAGCCTTTTATAGCTCTACTGAAACTTTGTTTGGTTTTATATTCTGAAATGACTTCATTGTGTTTCTGAGAGGGAAAAACTCGCTCCTCATTATTAGACTGAGAATATGACAGTAGAATGCTTTAACACTTCTAGATATAATAGACCTACAGTGGGGGAAATAAGTATTTGACCCCTTGCTGATTTTGCAGGTTTGCCCACTTACAAAGAATGCAGCGATCTATAATTTTAATCGTATGTACATTCTAACAGTGAGAGACAGAATCCCAAAGAAAATTCCAGAAATTCACAACCATCTGATGAGGAAAAACAAGTATTTGACTCCCTGGACAAACAGCATGTTAATATTTTGTAGAAAAGCCATTATTGGCCAGCACAGATGTCAAATGGTTTTTATAGTTGGCGACGAGGTTTGTGCGCATTTCGGCAGGGATTTTGGCCCACTCCTCCCTGCAGACGGCCTCCAAATCATTCAGGTTCCGAGGTTGTCGCCTGGCAACTCGAATTTTAAGCTCCCTCCAAAGATTTTCAATTGGATTCAGGTCTGGAGACTGGCTAGGCCACTCCAGAACCTTGATTTGCTTCTTCTTCAGCCACTCTTTTGTTGCTTTGGCGGTGTGCATAGGGTCGTTGTCGTGCTCGACCCATCTTCAGCTCTCTCACTGAGGGAAGGAGATGTTGGTCCAGAATTCCACCATACATGGCCCCGTCTATCCTCCCCTCAATACGATGGAGTTGTCCCGTCCCCTTGGCTAAAAAGCACCCCCAAAGCATGATGTTGCCACCACCATGCTTGACGGTAGGGATGGTGTTCTTTGGGTTGTACTTGGTGTTCTTTGCCCTCCAAACACGACGAGTTGAGTTGAGGCCAAAAAGTTCTATTTTGGTCTCATCTGACCACATCACCTTCTTCCAGGTCTCTTCTGAGTCGTCCAGGTGGTGAATGGCGAACTTCATGCGGGCCTGTGCATGTTTCTTCTTGAGTAGGGGAACCTTGCGTGCGCTGCGGGATTTCAATCTGTGGTCCCAGATTAGCCTGGGTACCATTCCGAACTTAGTCCCGCCCACAAGGTTTGAGGTCGGGAAGTTTGGTCTGGCATTGCTCAATAGTAGCGCAAGTATGATCGGCCACCCTCTGGGGATCCAATCAAATTGTCAGGGCGGGCTTTATACGATGATGGACAGATGATCAACAGTAA